TTATCTTTAGTACCTCCAGATGTTTGTACTATTTACAGGAAAAGAGAAGAAGAAAAAAAAAACCTCTTAAAAATAAAGGTTAAATTTCACAAGATATCTGGGAGAAATATCGTTCCACTGGTAAAAATGTGCTTTTAACAAAACATTCTGGCCCGGAATGGCCTGGTGGTTAGAGTGCTCGACTCGCAATCTGCAGGTCGAGGGTTCGAATCCCCGTCCCACCAAACATGCTCGCCCTTTCAGCCGTGGGGGCGTTATAATGTGACGGTCAATCCCTCTATTCGTTGGTAAACGAGTAGCCCAAAAGTTGGCGGTGGGTGGTGATGACTAGTCTTACACTGCTAAATTAGGGACGTGTAACTTTGCGCGAAATTCATAACAAACAAACATAACATTTTCGTTGACTTTTTTAATACAATCTAAATTTCTCTCAGGAGACCATTCATTATAGGAACAGCTTCGTTAATTAATACTAAAAAAAAGGTCTTTTAATTATCTGTAAACCAAGATTTGCATGAATGTGTGTGTGTGATGATTTCTCAATGATTGAACCAAATATGTGTAGAGCTTCTAGTAGCCATGTTTTCTACAAGAATTACCATTGTATTATATCGATCCATATGTAAGGGGTTGTAAACCGTACAGAGAGATTGATTGTATTTTGAAAGAATTGTTACGTTATGTATACCGCCTGTAGTTATATTCATATTCCAGGGCTGCCAACTTTTTGAATCTGTTTCAGTGAGACTTTAGATAAAAGTAACAGTGGGTGCTGCGAAAGATGGAGGTGGTCACCTTTTAAAAGAGTGCGTGGGGGGCACGTTGCTCCCCGAAATTCTTTTATCCAATAACGCAAAATGGTGCAATCTGGTTCATTTATTGGGTTAATTTGACCTGGATCCAGCTGGTAAACCAATCACAATGCGTTATATGTTATAGAAAGATGCTAATTTGACCAAAACATGATATTTTTTTTACTAGTGCGCGTGAGCGAGAGTATAGGCCTAAATGCACGAGCCTCACTCTAAAGGGCGAGTGTTTATATCTTCAGACCTCTCTACACTGTGAACAGACATAGCTAAGTATTATTTCAAAATACCA